AGTTTAGCCATGTTGTTCACGAGTTCTTAGCGCACATTTCAAGGCTTCGCCTAGACCCCGAATTTCCCTAACAGGAAATGCGAAACCGTGCAAGGCTTCGTTCGAGTACGTGACCAATATTTTTTCGATTTAGAATTCGGTCCTTACGCTTTGCATATCCCCGATAACCTTCAACAGAAGTTGTTTGAGTCGTGCGCCGACGTAATCTCGCAGGTTTAGTTCATCGTGTGACTACCGCTACGGCGACTGGCGACAGGGTGAGTAGTTTTCTTGTGTGTTTGTTCATGAGATCGACCTCCGGATGAGCTTTCAATCACAGTGTCCCTTCGTTGTCGATTTTGAACTTCGGATAGTATCGACACAATGGTTCGACAAAATTTTTATCACGCTTTAGGGCCTCGTAATACTCGTCCACAGGCTGCTTTAAAAGCTCGTTGCGCACGGTGTCCCCCATGAACGAGGTGTGCATGGCTGCTGCATCATTGTCGTTCAGCTGGTGTACGTCGAAATCGTCCATGGGGAATATCGTCAGCCATTTTTTTATATTAAACTTATAATATACATAGTTTCAATATAAACAATGTTGCAATACGGGCGAAAGCTAGATACTTTCCGAAGATCAAGAGAACCCCTGAGTGTCAAAGCCGTGCGTCAGTCGGTGACGATCACCAACAATCCGAGCACGATCGATCAAAACCAAACGCTGCTGGTTTGATTCCCCAAACTAAGCACGAACGACATCACCGTCCCCGGCACGACTCAACTGGCTTTTCAGATCAGGTTGGAGTCCATGCATGAACAAATGCATGATCGTGAACAACCTGGGTCGTGCCATCTTCAAGAAAACCACCATCAAAATCAGCGGGAAGGAGGTGCCACGAACGAACGCAATGACATGGCGTATGAAGGACCTTGTCGGAATAATGACGTATCATCATTGACAACATCTCGCCGGAGTTCGACATGGTCATGAGCATGGGAACTGGCCAGGCATATTCGCCAACAGCACTCGGGAAAGCTGTCCATCCTGTACGACTGCGTGTTGCGACACCGGATGACCGTCAAGGACAAGAGCAACACGCTGTGGAACATCAGCCTGAACGTGCGGGCTCGATCGATGAAAGGCATCTTTATCACTCCCGTGGTGGAGTACGTTCCGTTTCGAAGAAACAGCGAACTCACTTGAAATCCAGAGATCACGAAAGTGGAAGTGACTGTCGAAGGTGTGCCCAACCAGCTGTTCAGCCAAGGCATGCGAGCTCATCAACAGTGGGACGAGATAAAAAACTGACGGCCAACAAGCGACACTCGACACTCGTCACCTACGTGACGTGACGTAAGTACCTGGATAAGCATTACGCGCTGTGGCTGGACATGCGATCCATGGACGACGACAGACTACACGACTCATATTTGTACGTGATTATGGATGCGCAACTCAATATAGACAATGGAAGATTCGTGCAAGCCATTTATTGATTTACATCGCGATCCCCACTGCGCCATCGTGTGCGGTCAGACAGGGTGCGGCAAGACAGCATTCGTGCTGGACATGCTGAAAGGTTCTCCGCCCCACTTTACGGGTGAACATAGCGTACACAGAGAGACCGTGGGTGATGACGGACCAGAACGTGCACAAAATCGATCCTGGAATTCGTCTGCAGGACTGGTTGCGCGCTTACCATGACAAGCTGAAAGGAGAATCGATGCTGTTCATCCTGGACGACTGCAGTGCCAACAAGGAGATGGTTAAAAAACGAGACGTGCTGTTGTACCTGGCCTTCTCGGGTCGACACAGGAAGCATAGCGTTTGGGTTCTGACTCAGAAAGATTTACGGGAACAGACGCGATGGGTCGCACTGTTTCACTGCATGGACAGGGATTCGTTCGAGGACTGCTTGCGAGAAAACGACGTGATCCCAACCAAACAAGAAGGAGAACGAGTGAAGAAACAGCTCGCCCAAACGAAACACGCCAAACTCCTGTTGAAAACCGACCAACCTGTTGCGTATAAAGTCTGATAGCTTAAGCAGGATTCTAGCAAAATTCCATCAAATTCTAGCATAACTCAAGCAAAAACGATGTTCAAAACTATCGTTGTGTGCAACTTGACTTTCATCTCGCTGTGTTTCTGGTACATCGCATTTGATTTTATTAGACTTAAAAATCGTTTGTTACATCATAAGATGGAGTGCGATGAACTGCTCAAACAAATGTTGGATGATGATAATAATGATAAAAACGACCAGCGAGAGAGACTGGTGGTGGTCGCGGTCAGCGGCAAAGCCAAACAATACTTGGGTGGGGGCGACCACACTCGCGATAAATTCACAAAATGCCAGCCGAAGAAATCGACAAGCTGTACGTGAGATACGAAGCCAGACTCGGCGCCGAAATGACGAAAACCATAGGGTCTGTCATAACGCAGGTCTACACCGGCGTAGCGTCGTACTTCCTTCCCATTCCACCGGAACGTCGACTTTACCTGTGGGAAGATCTCGAGAAAGATCCGTTCATCGACCACGCTTTGAGCGCCGTCAGCTGCGTGCTCTACCACAGATACGTCATGTGTTTGGCCCTGGTGACCACGTCGATCATCACGGCAAAGCATTGTCATTTTAAAGAAGAAAAAAATAATAATGATAATAATATACAACATGGATGTGCAACAGGAGGAGGAAACACTGACGGAGGAAGCGACGACGACACCGATACAACTAGTCACCACCAAGAATCCTAAAGAAGTCGCCGTCGGTAGAAAAGGTGGTTTAGCCAAGCACCACAAAAATAATACCCATTACACTCCGTGGATTCAACCGGCCCGTTTACATGGGGATGAGCATCCTCGACTAATCCAAACACTTTCTACTACAACGAGCTGAAAAAGCAGTAGGGCGACAGGTGCGAAGTGCTGTACACGGACACAGATTCCCTGCTGATGGAAATTCACACCGAGGACGTGCACGAGGACATGAAGAAACACATGCACCTGTACGACACCAGTGACTACTCTAAAGATCACCCTATGCACAGCCAAGTCAACAAAAAAGTGCTCGGCAAGATGAAGGACGAATGCGCTGGCAACGCCGATTGCCGAATACGTCGGCTTGAGACCCAAGATGCATTCCATCAAGAAAACCAACGACGACGAAATCCGAAGGCGAAAGGCGTGAAAAAACACATGGTGAAAAAACACATCAAGCACGCCAGATTCAAGGAAGACCTGTTCAAGAATAAAACGTTCAAACACCAAATGAACATGCTGAGAAGCGACGGACACAGGATATATGGACTGGGAATCAACAAGACCTTCCTGTCTCCCATGGACACGAAACGATGGATCGCCATCGACGTAGTCACCACTTACGCGTACGGACACAAACATGTTTCGAATAATTGAACGCATACGCACACGTGTACATATATCATGGAGAAAATATATTACAGCCCGCGTTGGTACTGGAAAGGCGCGGATGCCATCCCGAAACTCGCCAAAGCCGCACGAGTCTCGGAAGAGAAAGCCAAAGCTTGGCTTAAAAAACAAACCATCTGGCAAGTCTACCTGCCGGCGCCTCGATACATCCCGTCATGATACATCTCGTCATGATTTGTTATCAGTCTTGCATGCCTATTTTTCTGCTTAATGCCAGCCAGCCAGCCAGCCACCCGTACACCAAGCCGAGAGAGACACATGCACACGCACAGCGACTCGTCCGCCCACAGCGCTCCGAGGAGCAACCACCCCCGAGGCGACCCGAGCCTTTTTCCTGACCGACCCACCCATGCTCACTTAAAAGTCAATATTTCAGAAACTATTCGACCGATTTTCATCAAATTTTGCATGCACCTCAGTAGTAGTATCCATAATGGGGCTACAGGATTAGGGACTTCCAAAGGGCTCAATTTTTAAACTGAGCCCTTGGGGGGGGGACCTGGTCCCGTAGCCCAATTTTGTATACTACTGGTTTAAACAACTTACATATCTCTCTCCCAGTATTTGTCATATTAATATGTTTCATACCTTTTGATTTTCGTTTGTACTTTCCATCACAGTGCTTGGCTATTGCATTGTGGTGGACCAAAGGTTACATAATGACGGATTACTCTTTTGATTGCAATTCATTGATAACGTTCTCGCGATTCAGTGGAATTCATGTATGTCTGTGTAGTTTATTCTTGCATATTATTGAAAATAGGACCGTTTTATAACCACAAGAAACACACTCCAGATGGCGTCTTTCTGGCCTTTGTGTAATGTATTAATGAGCCAATGCCTTCAGGAAAATAGACCAAATATGTGTCTATTCCATGTTCAAATGATACTTTGTTCTATCAAGAACAATTTAATGCTGTCTGCCATAAGATAATCGCATCTGAGTGAGTGAGTGAGTTAAGATTTTAAGTCACATCGGCAATATTTCAGACATATCGTGACTACAAACAAGTTCTAATTTTACAATAAATAAAGGTACATTATAAAAAAACTGTCAGCAAAGGACAGTAAAACAACTAGTATATCACAGATTTCAATTTAAAATTAGTAATTAACACTAAAACATAATTATAGATAACAATACAATATAAAACAGGCTATATATTGCCAACAACTGAAGTAAGATCACCATGCTAGGGACCATGGGGACTTACAGTACTCTTGCTTCAAATAGTATCTGACATACATATGTGGATACATATATGATTCATCTTTTAGTTTTGATCAGCTCTGTAACAAAGTCATCCATGCCACTAAACTTTACTCTTTGAGCCCATTAGACTCTTCTGAACCTGAGGGTTGTTATCCCAGACAGGTCGAGCTGATCATTATTTGCTCTTGTTTGGTAAATAACCACAGAGGAGGGCGTTCCTCTCACATTAAACTGATTCAACGTAATGTCAATGGAATGTTGGTCAAGGTGAGGATTATCAGCTTCAGTTACCTACTCTTTGATTACTGATTTCGTTTCATTTTGCTTTTTCTAATAACGATGTAACCATTGCAGCTTTTAGTGTTCCTTGGCCAGGTGTCTGGGCGCAGGATTGGCATAACAGCCATGGGGTTGTTTACAGTCAACAGGCCAGCGCTCATCACAGTAAGTTTCGTGAACACACTCCTCATATGTGGATATAGGGACATAAAATGTAGCCCCTCGATTGTGTATTGGGATGGTAAATATCCTTATAAGAGGAATATACCTATAAACATTACATTAAGAAGACAAAACACGTTTGAGATACCAACACAGATGTATTCAAAATTATGAAGGTCGCACTGCAAAACCGTTTAGTCAGGGTGTGGTATTGCAGATCTTAGTCGTGGGATGTCTGGAATTCGAACTAAAGATCCCTTAGTCAACCTCCAGTTATGACGCATTGTTTGTCAGTACCAGACACTCTATCGAAGGGTTCTACGAATTTCTCAAATGTAAAATGCACTTTATTAACAACCGTGTACCACAGATCCGTAGGGGCGGTGGGGTAGCCTAATGGTTAAAGCGTTGGCTCGTCACGCCGAAGACCCGGGTTCGATTCCCCACATGGGCACAATGTGTGAAACTCATTTCTGGTGTACCCCGCCGTGATATTGCTGGAATATTGCTTAAAAGCGGCGTAAAACCATACACACTCACTCACTCACAGATCCGTAATTTTAAACGGAGCATTTCCACTCACTCACTCACTCACTCACTGAGTCCCACATTTCAATCAACGAGAACGGTTACCGCGCGAAATATACTTTTCCCAAGCACCAAAACTGTGTCACAGCAGGATTGGAATTTCATTCGGATTTGAGTGTTTATTCCCTTTTATATATTGTTTTTTCTATCATGTCTGATAGTGTCTTCGATAAAGTACACAGACTGTGCTTCCCAGTAATTCCCATTCCTGGTAATGTCTGGTCATCTCCATACCAGATGCCACGTATTGATTGTTACGTTTTCCCCATATAAGTGAAATACATCCTTCTGACATTCCCAGGTGACTTCGCTTATGACGCTGGTTGTGTGATTAGTGCGTGTGTCATAAGTTTCCCTTATTTGCATCTACTTTATTACTGACAGACCTATTGGCATGCCGGCATTAATTTAGGATGGAGTCATAACTGTGTTTTTCTCTGTTTTGGAAACAGTCTGATGGAACTAGGAACTTAAACATATTTATTACGAAGACGATTATTCTGTACATCTGCACCACTTCCAGCATAATTTGAATGGTCACCCTTTGAAATGAAGTCGACATGACAGTATTTTAAAAATGAGCATCGGTTCAAACCAAATGACTAGGTGATATGAGGTATTTTTAAAATGCGGTTCAAAAAAAGACTAGGTGCAGTTGGATGCGGTTTCTATTGATTTCTTCGTGATTGGGTTGAATGTTTTGGAAAATTCAACCTGTATATTTTAGATAACTTTGTGCACTGAGATTTGCACAGAGCCTGCACAGATAACGTACCCTAACTAATTGTCAAAGAGTCTTTGTCGACAAAGAACCCTTTGGGAACAAGGACACCATCGCTGTCACTTTCCAGAACAAACACGAGGCGGCCGGAGTTCCAGCTCAACCGTTTCCTGCTCGTGGTCCTCCACACACAAGCAGTCGGAATACCGGTCTGACTAACAATGTCATTGTAAACACACATATTGAAATGGACAACAGGGAACAGATAAAATGACAGTGATGTTGGCCCTTGACGTTGGGACGTGTGAGCGCGATTATTGACAGAGACCAAGGGATATTGGTTACAGGCTATATATGTCAGAATATAAACAGTAATTAATGAAAGTGTCTGAGGGCCACGGAATGGATGATAAGTCAATGTGCCATGCCGTGTTGATGTGGATTAGGAATGGTGATAAACGATATATAAATAATTGCAACAGATGTCTTGGCTATACAGTATTCAGCAATGGAATTAAATGTGCAGTCGAATGAATGAATGAGTTAATCGCTTTGATTTTTTTTCTAAACATGATCGATGTTATTAAGGCAAGGAATACACAGACCGAATCCTTCAGAACCAGAGCTATGTTTTAGCTGGCGGCTATTGCACACATTACACTGTTCAACTTATTGTAGGTATTTATCATACCGTATAGCTAAATTTGCCAATGCATCAGTTGTTGTGTTTCTATTACGATCATCAGTATTGAGTTACACCAAATTCTAAAAATCGTATAATAACATATTTTCTTCTTTCCTCCCACAACAAGCCAACACGGCAAGAAATGTTGTTAAAAGCGGCGTAGAATATAACTCATTCACTATGTTTATTGCTTCGTTATTATTTTACAGATCATAGGAACCATCGTCGCCTATGCTATTGTCATCCAGCAACTCGGCGTCAACAAAGTCGGGGACACAGGCTCCGTGTCAAACGTCACTGTTAGCTCCAACACTGTCCTGGACACTGTCAGCCAGGAATGATCCCGTTCTTAACACAGCGATATCCCTCGGGGACGTGAATAGAACATAACTCTACTGCATCGCATCAAGCATTTTAAAACGCCTTTCTGTGTCTGAAATAACAACCGTACAATACAAAAACTGTCTGGTGTAATGGCGCCAATGTTTCCCTTAGCTCAGCGCACAGTTTGAATCTACACACATTCTCCTCAGGGACCTATATGTGTTCACTGTTTCAGTAGGAAACAATACTCTGTGTACAGTGTTTTTACAAACATAAATACTTCGTTCACTGTTTCTGAATAAACAATGCATCAGTCCATGTTTTCTCCTTTTCTGGTTTCGTGGTTTTGGCGAAAAAAATGTATTGTTTCTTCGTTGATTGGCATTTAGAAGCTGTTTCTGTTCAAATGTATTGTCGACAGAACTGTAGTTGTAACATTGGAGAGATGTGGAGGAATCTGCTTAAGTAACAAATAAGGCCCGACATCTACGACTCAAGGATAAACATATATCTATTCAGTGTGTTTATTTTACGGGCACATTCGTTTTGTTTGGCGATCTCACCTCCGTACTTGTGATATGTGTGATAACAACTAGATTCTACGCATATGGAAGAACAATAACTGGAAGCGCGTGCACCAAGGTATCCCCAGTAAAAGGTTTGTCTTTTTTTAGATCAGCTTCATCCGGACTTTGCTGAGTCGTCTTGTAATCACAGAGGTAAGAAGACATCCATCGTCTTGTCAGTATGGGTAACTCCCGAACACGTCTTACAGGGTATATGATATTTTTCTTATATATTTGGTAAGGTGAGTGAGTGAGTTTAGTTATACGCCGCACTCAGCAATGTTCCAGCTATATGGCGGCGGTCTGTAAATAATCGAGTCTGGACCAGACAATCCGGTGATCAACAACATGGGCATCGATCTGCACAATTGGGAACCGATGACATGTGTCAACCAAGTCAGCGAGCCTGACCACCCGATCCCGTTAGTCGCCTCTTACGACAAGCATAGTCGCCTTTTCTGGCAAGCATGGGTTGCTGAAGACCTATTCTACCCCGGATCTTCACGGGTCTATTTGGTAAGGGTTTACTGCAGTACTCTTATTGGATATCATTCAAAAGCTAACGACACATAGCTGATTATAATTGTATATAATTCAGAAATAACAAGCAAATTATGAAACGGTTCAAATGTGACTGATAATTATGGTATGGGGTAATTGACTTAACAAATAGTAAGGATTGCATCATGATTGTCAAATCTCACCTCGATCACACACACAGACACACACTAGTTAGTGCCAGCATCGATCATGCAGAATTGAAATAGATACTACCTAGTACGACATAACCTGTCTCACAGTCACTGTAGTATTATTTCCCTTCCTTACATCCCCTACTGTAATGTTTAAGCTCCAAACGAAGCACGACTACGTTTAACCCAGTTACTGTTTGTATTATTGACCCCCATCTCACTAATATGTCTTTTCAATTTCAATGGAACTGTTTCTTTTTTAAAATTCCGATGTCAACCTGCATCAGAGTTTTCTGTAACAGAGGTGATCAAAACGATTAGAGAAGTAGAGACTATGCAAAGGCTGACATCAACTGTTCAGTGGTATGATTATGGTGTGAAAATGCAGAAAATGTAAACGTTCAGTTTTCAGAACAGACTGATTGATTGTCTCGAAACAACCCTGATTGGATATTGCGATAATCAGCCTAAATGTCATAATACAGTTGAGTCATGCCAGCAGATTTAAATTTGCGCATGGATTTGGACTAAGTGATTATTACATTAGACTTGTCTGTTTATGTTATCTAGATAGCTGATCCCTTGGTTAGCAGAAGATTGTCAGGTACTTCCAAGGAAAATGTAAAATGGATTTTGTTCTTTAGGGGTATTTGGATACATTGTCAAAATGTAATTGTACTAAATAAGAAAGATTTTGTAAACCAAATGAATTCAAACAAACATTGGTTATGCAAGTACCAAATGCTTAGAAATATTTCGTTCAATGCATAAACGATGTATAAACCATGTTATATCAGGAATGTAACACTGAAGTGCAACATTGTGTCTCTTTTGTTTAAGCTACGGGTATCCTGTCAGGCGACATGGTTGTCCTTTAGGCCAGTCAACCTGGGAATCGGAACAGCACTTTCCAGCCAGCATCCTATCCTGACATCTCAGACCATCAACAAATGCCCTTTTCTCGTGGCATTTGCCTACATGTACATATTTCATCTGTACTTTCATTGTGTCAAGGGTTTTAGTCAGGACTGACTGCGAGGCTCAACTGGGCTGAGGTCTCAGGGGTTAATAGGGTTCTATTAAGGACTTGCAGATAGATTTTGCTTGGCACCTTGAACAGCCTTGTCTTATACTTCAGTAGCTGTTCAACACTGACAAACTGGCACACGTTGTGTCGGCGCTAAACCCGACTTGACGGAAATGACTAAGTACACAGTGCTTAACGAGTGGGCCGCCAAGATTAGATTTTCTTTGGAGATGAACTGTTCTAGACCGAACAACTGACCTTCATCCATCCGGACGAATTAATCCAGCCATGCCATAAATGAACATTCATCAAGCTAACTTCTTGGTTTCTTTGTGGTTTTGATATTTACTTTTCTTTTAGGATCCGAATGCCAGACAACATGAATAACCTACAAGTGAGGAAATTCAAAGACTCTGTTTCTCTGAAAAGTGAACCCAGCTCTTTGCAAGTACCAAATCTCTTTCTCGGGAACTTCAAAAACCTCATTTAATGAGCATGGCCTTTGGGTGTTCAGTCCAGGATTGGAACCAGCAGTCTCAGAGTCGGTCACGAGAGGCCAGCCGACAAAGTCAGCTATCTACTCTGTAACCAGCTGAGTCATCAGTTCCTCAACAAAACTATCTGAATGTGTACTTTACTGATGAACTGCAATTCTAGCACGACATTGTGTGATACTCGATTCTGATTGGCTGAAAGCACATCAAAATCGTACTTAAATGGCAGTTTAATACCGATAATTAAAGTGACCGATTCACCGCGTATGAATACAACGAACTCGCTGACCCTATTGTTTGTAAACAAACATGCGGACATCGGCAATTTCTACCTCGGCAGCAACTTTGCTGTTTTTGATGTGAAAAGCGAATGGTTTGAAGACAAATTTCTTGACCCTATTCCCAGTGAAGAAACTACAATGCTGGAAAATCCGTCAGTAGCGCAAAAGCGGCAGTATATTCGAACCGGGTCAGATCTAGCTGGCATGACGTCGACAACACACGTCGGCCCACATGTCCTAACCTGACCGCTTCCGACCCGGCCGTAATACCCAGTCCTTCCGCTTCCACTGCCCATGTATCCCACATAAAACGTGGCATTTCAGATCTTTTGCAAAAAGGGAATAGTAGGGTGGTTATCAACAATGATTCCCGTGAATAAAGTTAGCGGCGACTAAACTTAGCGAGTTCACGGCTTGAAATGGGGCAAATCGATTGTGATACAGTAGGGGCGGTCAATAATTCGCTTGAGAAAAATAAAATAATTGTACTTGCTCACAGTATAAAGTATGCTACTTGTTATAAATACAAGCATACTGGTTCCTGAAATAAAGCATTTATGTTGTTGAAAATGTCTTATTTTGTTCATTACACAACCTGTCATTCAACGGGACGATTCCAAGCGATTTCCAGGAAAAAGGCCTCTTCACGCCTTGTGTTCTTGCGCGCCAAACAGTTCGGTTTTAAAACGCTTATCAGTCGTGCTAGAATGAAGATAAAACTACTCTGTTTTCAATTTTTCGGTCCTTTATCGTTGATTTAAGACCGCTAAATGTTTAAATGTTTAATTTAGCGGTCTTAAATCAACGATAAAGGACCGCAAAATTGAAAACAGAGTAGCTAATATCTTCTAAATACCAATTGGATTTTTCCCATGGGAAACGTTGTTAATAGAGAACATCAGCAAGGACCCATTTCTTTTCCTATTTTTTCGCAAATTATTTATGCTTTGGGAACCGATTTTCCAAACATCACATCTAGATTTTCTTTAAACATCATATTTGTACCTAAACAGGTTTGTATTAGAATATGGATCAAAAGTATACGACCCTTATAAGACAAGTATATAGATACTTCTTATTTATTATATAACGCAACGTTTCTGGGCCACTTCTTGCCCCTTTTTCAGGTGATTAAAGACAGGTGTAGAAAACATGTTATATATGCTATATATACAGGAAGCCAGGGTTTGTGAGTGAGATTTAACGTCACGTCGGCATTATCTCAGCCATATCGTGACGAGAACAATGTAATTCATATCAATTAAAAATAAATTGAGAAAATAAAAACCTGTCATCGAAGGACAGTAAAACTACTAGAATATCACAGCTCTTAATTTAAAACTAGTACGCTATCATAAAAATATATCACTATAGACGACAATACAATATAAAACAGGGCTATAGATCACCAGCATCTCACAGGAAGCCAGAGATGTACATGTACAAACAATCAATCAATGAGGGCAGATAAAAAAGCAGTTATAAAAACTATAATTGGGATAAGGTAAAGCCAGTTGACACAAATAATGAGGATAAGGAGATGTGAACACAGCAGAGTGATATACAGCCAATTAGTGACAATAGAGGCGAGTGTCATTCGGTTTTTATGATGTTCCAGGCAGTAGGGAGGTATACACCTTGATCTCTATTAATCTCTGGGGTTTATCTCCTGATGTTGGTGGCTTCTCGTATTTTCCGTTTTCGCCAATCGTGAACATTGGTAGCCAAGATGCTAGTCTGTTGCCAGTCAATGGAGTGGGTGGGGTTGTTAGTTATATGCTCTGAAAGGGCAGATTAGTGGTCAACTTTTTCAACAGATGTTTTGTGTTCTTTGGGTCTTGGTGATGTCTCTCCAATGTAGCTACTGCCACAGTTGCAGTTTAGTTGGTATATGCAGCCTCGGGGATTGTGCGTAGTCTGATTGCTGGCACCTCGTCCATTTGGTTTTAGGATGGCCTTCAAAGTCACGTCTGAATAAAATGTCACGTCTGTGATTACAGTTTTTCTGAGAAGTCGGCTGATGTAATGACTAATCTGGCGGTAGGGAATACCGATTGGCGATGATTCATTTTTGGTGGGCGTTGGTTTTGCTGGTTGAGAGCTTTAGCTATAGTCTGTTCTACACGGTGTTTGGGATAGCCATTGAGGGTGATGAAAGTTCTCTTGAGGTGATCTATCTGAGCACATAGCTGGGCGGGGTTACAGATGGATTTG